TGCCAGACAGATGAAGAGGTTTACAAGTACTTTTCCTTCTCTGAAAAGACCAACAGAAGAGTGTCAACTGTGATTGGATTAAAATAAAAAAACAAGAAATATTTTAAGTCCTAGGAACAACTATCCATAAACCACGTGGAAAGTCAGCTCTACTGGCATCAGTATGAACAGATAAAGGCTTAACTACGTTAAATAAGCAAAGCTTATAGCAGAGTTTGGAATTCTTTCAGAAAGCTAGAGCTTTGAATCTCAGGACACCATAAGCTGACATTGGTGGTCCAAAAAGTACGAGATTCAAATAACTTGAAAGGAAAAACTACTGACTTGGCTGAATCAGAATTGTTGGGGTTTATTTTGACCTCTGTCCTTTCCTCTTTCTTTGACCTTGGCGATGTCACTTTGCTGCTAATCTCCTGTGCCACTTTGTGGAACACAACCATGGTGATGTTTAAAAAGCACTTTGCTAACTGGCATGAACACCCTCAGCAAAATCTTTCAATGCAGTGCAAATAACAAACATGTTCTGCTGAGACAGTCAAAAAAAAAATCAAATATGCTTTTGCTAGCTCTCCACAGTATTAGTTAATTTGCTTTATTCCTATAGCAATGCTGGCATATCTAACACTGACAGACAAACGGGACCAACTTTGTTATTTACAATACTTCACTAAAACCAACAGGACTGTCTCTTTTTGATCCTAAGCATTAAATGCCAGGCACTTTTCTCTAGCCAGAAATAAGACTTGAATCACAGATGAGAGATAAAAGAAAGGGAAACTCTTAAGAGCTATTCTAAGTGCAGTGATGTTGATCGCAGTGCGCATTTCTAATTGCTTTTTTTCCTACAGTCCAGCATTTAGATTATTTAGGTGCTTTCACGTTGGGAAAGGCCTACTAAGGATTCCATAGCATATGGAAAATGGCTCACCAATGTGCAGCTGAAGAACGAAAGGTTGGAAATACCAGCACATGAAGAGAAGCAGCAGCAGCCACTGAGGATTCTGTCAGATTAGCAAGATTAATTTTCATATGGAATAACTTGAATCTCTTAAATCAAATGCCCAAAATAAAAAGAGAAATACTTATCTCCTCACACAGCAGAACCAAATGGTTTCATAAATTACCTTTTTTCTGACATATGAGTTGGTAATACCATTGGAACACTTATCTACCAGACTTAATGCCAGCTGAACTCAGACTCAAGAAAATAATTTCAGCATCTCTAAAACTAAATTACAGGTGTAGAATTTATTCTGTAAAGACCTTTCTGTAGCCACTTCCTGACTGCATCCCCAAAGCAATAAAACAGGCAGCCCACAGAACCCCCAAGATTTACAATCTTCCTCAAACAAACATGGTATTAAACATACAGAGCACTTCTCCTACACGCTAAATGTATTAGGATTAAATGTAAAGTTATGCAAATGTAAAGAAGAAAAAAATTTTTTAAAAATATAGAAAAAATCCTTCTTTTCATCAAAAAAGATGGATAACAGACAATTGATTTTGAGTGCTTTTTGATGAGGAGTATCTCAAGAAAGGAACACCTGCTGGAATCTTCAAATAATCACCTGAAGTTCAGTTCAGATCAACTAAAGTGAAATTATCTCCTAAAGTAATCAAAACTCTATCTTTTTTGTTACACTACCAGAAATATTGACAACTATTCTGAGTGTTGTTTTGGTACATAACATCTGAGTCCACCAAGCTGCAATAGTTTAAATAAAAAAGGATGTTTTTTCCAAATCCTTACATAATGGGGTAATTTCTCAGACTTGCATTAGGGTGCCCACTTGATAAGTTCAAAATGTAATGTGACCTGCTTAAAAGATTCATCATGAAGTACTGTCCTTAGCATTCTGTGTCTGACTAAATATAAGCAGACATCTGACAACAAGGCATTCTCTGATTTTCTTCTATTCTAGTAGAAAAATTGATTTTAAACAAGGCAAGTATGCTCTTTCCCACTGCCCCATCTTGTTCTCTACCTCCCAAATTAACTCATCCTGCAGTTTCAGATGCACTGTGTACATCCCAGCTGGTGCTTGAAGGCACGATGAGATGTACAAGAATCACAACCTATTACTTAACGCAGGCAGTACCAATCAATAGATCAATATAGCTGATGCTCCCATGACAGCTCTACAGCGCCTGTAGATGTTTAGTACACGTAAGAAATGCATCTGCAAGAATCCTTTCCAAGCTCTTGCAAGCAGAAACTCTTTCCTCACCATAGACACATCACTGCCTGTCATCTAGTGGGTGGTAGCTTGTGCAAAGGAAATGCTACAAGCTTGTAATTCTATAGGCACAAAGCCAACGAAATAACCTGCTCTCCATTATCCATGGTAATTAAGAAAACTAAGTTCATCAGAAAAGTAGACAAAATGCAAGCTATATATTAATCAGCATGCAATAATATACTCAGTCCAATAATCTTTACAAAACTAGTATAAAGCTTTCCACACGAAACAGAGCAGAGAAATTTCTAAGATGCTTATATATAAGAGAAAAGGGATTTCAGCAATGCAGTGACAGAGTAATCAAGAAAGACATTACTTAGGCAGCTCAAAGTTTTTCATCCTACAATCCCTTATCACCACAAAAAAGCTCCACCATTGTAATAATCTAATATTTATGATGTTTGCTCTGTAGATACACTCAGAAAATAACGTGTATTTCAAATGTTTAAAATAGCATATATTTTAAATTTCTCTTCAACCACACAGCACAGAATGAGGAACTTCATTTTGTTTAATAAACAGCTGTTGCAATATGTCAAGCCCATGCCCGAGGCTACTAATTTATCGAATTTCAAGAGAAAAACAAACCAATAATTTTTCCTTAAAATATCTTAAGTCCTTTCCTCCAGTACCAGCTCCTACATTCATTTAGTTTCCCAAATGTAATACTGCTTGCTCCAGCCTTATCTGGGATAGAATTGTCCTATATCCATCACTTCTCTACTAGACCTGATGCTGTCGTGGTCACAACCGCCATGTAAATTCTCTATCTTTCCCCTTCAAACACAGAACATCTCTTAATCCTTTCAGAGGCATTCTCACTCATTCTTCCCCTTTCTTTTACTATTGCTTCCTCCCAAATGATGGAAATTATAGTAATACATTTAGCAACTTCTCACTGATCATTTACAGTGCAGCACAATTAGACTCTGCTGATTCATTGTGACAAGAGACATTTACTCTTGCTGCTGACAATCCACATGTTTTCTAGCATCCATATCTGTCTGGATGGCAACACTGTGCACTGGGTGTCCCTCTGGTTGGCCTAGTTCTCTTGCTGAAGCTTTTCCCTTTTACAACTAGAAGTCTCTGGTCTGAATAAAACAGTGAAGTACTAGAAGCTAACAGCTTTTTATCTTAGAAATAACTTTCATTCTAAACCTCAAAAATGTTCAACTAGCACTTAGCAAGGAAATCTCAATGGCCTGTTAGCAAAATAAGCAAGTAAATTGTTTCTTAGGTAAGGAGGAAATGCACAGCACTGAAAGGCAGTTCTTTCTCATTCACAGATGCAGCCAATCATTCATTAAGTAATGCAGCAATCATTCCTTAATTTTACAACATTTATTAACATGCCCATATATTTGCCATCTGTAAGGGAAGGGTTCAGACCTTCAGGAAATCTTTATTGACATTAAGACTGCCTTACTCTTAACAAAATGGGAAACTTTGTTCCTATAAGAACAATACTGTAGAAACTAACTTGAAGGCTCTTAAAGTTCCTATTTTTCCACTAACAAAAACTAATAATCCTTTTTTTTATTCTTCCACAACCAACTAAGTAAATTCACGGCCACAATATCTGAGACCAAAAAAACATAGTAAGATACTGCAAGGCCTGGAAATTTACAGCATTGCAATGGTTAATCCTAGTCAATCTATTTAAGATATTAAAATTACCATCTATCAGACCTCTTTCTTAATGTCCCTGCCCTCAAAGCAAAAGGGAACATATGCCTGCATCCCAGCCACCCAGTTCATACAGCTTCTTATTAACTCAAGCCATAAATGACAATGAGTCCATCTAACACACCAATCTAAACCACCACACCCAACATGCAGGTCTGTGTTTGCTCTGGCCATCCAGACACAGACAGGCAGAGAGAAAGGCTAAACAGCTGCATACAGGCTTCAGGAAAGAAAATTATGCTCTTTAAACCACTGCATCACTTTGCTCCCACACTCATATATAATGTTCTATGTGTGTGTTTGACTGAAAAGTTAAAGTTTGTGAAAAGAGACACACTATGAGAACAGCACCCAAACAACACACAGCAATGCTGTCAGTGTTACAGAGCAGCTGAAATCACCATGATTTCCACAATCCTAACTACCAAAGTTCAGTTCCCCTTGCCCTCTAACAGGCAAGCTGTATCATGTAAAGCATCACAAATATCAGCCGAAGTCCTGGGTGTACAAGGACATTTTATTCACATGAGTTAATGTTTCTGTCACCACCAGCTCTGCAATGGATAAAGAGAAGATCCAATTCAGCTGGGATGGGTTAAATCTCCCATAAGGAAAACAGGCTTGCATCTCATCTATACACCCAAATCTAGCAAGTATAAAGAAAGCCTAGGAGCATTTATCCTTACAAAGAAGCACTTTTTCTTTCAAAAAGTGGAAAAATAATACACATTCTAAATTCAATAAGGCTTTCTAACATACAGAAGTCTGCTGAAATGCCAATAAAACCTAGACACTATATGAATATGAACTAGTAGCAAAGCATGGTTCATTCACAGTTGCTTTTGCATCCAATTATTTAAGTTGCTTCTACAGATTGAAAACATTTACAGAGGAAAGCATGTTTCCTGTGATCTGTAGCACCATACTGTATAAAAATAAAACCCTTCTGGGATTGAATTAGAGGATACAGTGGTTCACTAAATTAACATTACTCCCCTCTTTTCTTTGTATGATTTTTTCCCCAAAACCATATCCCAAAACCCTAACTGTTCACTGTGTAGCACTTACTGTTGCTGGACTTGAGGTCACGGTGAATTATGGGAACAATTGCTTCCTCATGCAGGTAGTTCATTCCCCTGGCAATCTGCACTGCCCAGTTCACCAGTATGTCAGGAGGTATCCTTTTACCAGACAGCACCCTATTGAGCGATCCTCCGCGGGCAAACTCCATGATCAGGCAAAGATTAGGTTCCTTCAAACACACGCCTCTGAGGGCAATGATGTTGGGATGTTTTAACATTGCAAAGAGCTTGGCCTCTTGGCGGACATTCTCAATGGTCTGGCTGATGTCCTCATCAGGGTCATAGCGAGCTGCCTTGACAGCAACCTCATCTCCTATCCATATAGCTCGATACACTTTTCCGAAGCCCCCTATGCCAATGATTTCTTCCAGAACAAGCTCTGAGAAGTCGATCTCTAGGACTAGGGAAAGAGGAAAAAAAAGATATAAGCATTCAGCAACTATGCAGTCTGTACATCACTCCATGCTGGCCGACCTCACCCCTGCCCTTGGAGGAAGGGCCAATTTTCATTCCAAAACATTACAAAGGAAAGCAGTGGGCCTTTCTGACAACCTTTCAGTGCCGAACAGTATTATGACACTGCCGAACAAACCTTGCGGTGTCATAAAACTGGCATGAAGTACTCACTGTAAGTGATAAAATAACAGAATAGCCTTTTCTTACCACAGTTAAACCCTTATAAACCTGATGCCCCTGCCCCTACCCCCCTTAAGGATAAACTCTTAGTGACAGCACCACATTCTGAAAATGAAAAACACACTCACCAACTAATCTTCACTGTATTCACAATACAGTGCATAAGTAAAATAGCTAAAACTCAACACAAAATGCATCTGCTTCTCCATTTGTCCCTTATTTAAACATCTCTTGTTGAACTGCCACAGCTATCTTTTAGGTCTTCCCAAATCACACTTATTCTTCCACACCTCTCCAGGCTTTGCAGACTTGTTCCCCACAAGAGATCTGTTAACCAGTTCTGACATTACCAACAACAGTGTGACAAACAGATGGATCAAACCACATACTGAGTGTACAGAGCAAGCAATAAGAAAAACATTTCTTGATTAATGCATACTGCATTTTTGTTATAAAAACTTCCTATTCCCATACACTGACAGCTATACTTAACAGGCTGACACAAAAAAATCTACAGCTGCAGCTGTCTCAATTCAGCACACAAACTGCACCTGGAGCAAAAGCAATGAGAAAATTATCCTGTACAACTGTACACTAAACACAGTTTATACAGGTGGCCAAAAGAACCCAACCAACACTGACTAATGTAGAATGAAAATTCCACATACTAACCAATGAACACATGTTGACACAGCTTAATTTACAGCAGTGGAAGGCTACTACTGATGCTACTCTGTATGACATTTGCATGCTTATCAATTACAGTCAATGACATTTTAAAAAGTTTTCAAGATGGAGTACCATAATGCAAGATTTGAACAAAAAGTGACCAAGCCTTTTCATATTTTCCTGCATTTGAAATGCCAAATTTAACATGGTTTCCCTACTTGGTCTAGTACAAAGGAAATTAAGTATGTAAGGGAGCAGGTTAGATCCCACTTAAATAAACTAGTCTCCTTACTCCAATCAAATGCCTTTCGTATGTATAAGCCTACAGCACAAGACTTTGTCACAAAACTGTACAGAGTTAATACAAACTCTTCTATCCACAGCTGTAGGCTTTTATTTTGTCTGAGCTCTACCTTTCCTGAACATGATTTTTAGAAGTTGGCTTACTTTTTTAAGTTAGTCCTATGAGTTAGTTTAATAAAGATGCCTTTGCTGCTTTTCCTAGTGTTCCATGAACAAAAGGCCAACAGGAAACAAGATAGAAAACTGACCAAGAAAGTCTGCCAGAAGGAGAAAAGGTCTCTTCCAGTTCAGAACACAAAAAGAATTTACTTTTTTTCTACTGTGAATACATATTTTGGGTAACACTCTGAGCTTCAAGGATTTGCACAACAAAGAAGATTTCAGTGCTACAGTAGCAACCTTGGTACTCAAATGCTTGAGACAGAGACTACTAGAAAGCATGAAAGGAGTAGATTCTGACCAGAAACACTGAAATTTTAGAACAAGACTGTAATGACAATAAGTCCAGATGTGAGACTACTCTGTCACTGAGAGTACACCAAGAGTCACTCTTTTATTTCTCACTAGTAAAAGACCTACAGAAATCAGATGTTGAGTCCTATCTCTTCAGTCAACAGAATTGCAGCACTGCTAGAATCCTCACTTAACCTGTTCCTAGGGAGAAGGTCAGTTAAAAGACTGGAAATGAACAAACACGCACCCCACACCACCAGGGTGATCTCCTGCCCTGCCAGCTCCGGACAGACAGCGTTCAGGTGCTGCTCACAGCGGGCACTGCTCGGCCATTTCACGGATTAAGAGGACGTCAAGGAGGCGCCGGGCCCGCCGGCCCGCCGGTGCTGAAGGGACAGCTCCGGCGGCAGCGGGCACGGGACGGGGACGGGACGGGGACGGGGACGGGACAGCCCCGCGGGCAGCGCCCCGGCCTTCCCCTCCACACAACCCCTTCCCCCCATCCGCCCCGATGCTGGGGAGAAGCGCGACAGGAAGGTGGCAGGCAGGAGAACAAGATGGGCAAAGGAAACCGAAAGGGCTGGAAAGTAGAACACTTTGTGTGCCGCCACCCATTTTCCATGAGAAAAAGCACATCCCTGCTGGAGGCGCAAATTAATAGGGGTGGGAAGTAAAACCGGAAAGGGCTGGAAAGTAGAACACTTTGTGTGCCGCCACCATTTTCCATCAGAAAAACCAAGAGATTCCAGCTTCCACATGAAATCTAATGCATGACATTGAATGTTATTTTATCTGAAAGTACAACCTTATGAAATCTAATGCATGACATTGAATGTTCTTTTATCTGGAAGTACGACCTCAGTTTAGTTTGAAAATGCGTACTTCTATAAGGCAAACTGGCCAGCTTACCCTGTTGGGTAGCTTGTTCATAAAAACACCCTGATTTTTTAAAATGTTTTGTTTAGGATTTTTAAAAGGTATTTTCTGCTGAATTAGTTTATTAATTTTCATGGTTTGAGTTATACATGTACATTAGGACACAAAATACTTGGGTTTTGTCACATTTCTAAACACACTGACTCCAGTGTCATTTGGCAGATGTGTTGTATAGGACTGTACAGAATTCAAGAAGAGAATGCTCTCATTCCTCTGTGGGCTGGTAAGGAATTACAGAGCCTGTATGCCATGAACCAGTGGCCATGTTGACAACTGCAAAGTAGGTGCTGTTTAATCAGCCCTTATTAGACCATATGATTAAACTGTTTAATTCAGTCTTAAGTATTTAAGAACCCACAGCACAGATGAGAGTCCCTCAAGTTGGCCCCCTTCTGAGAGCTGCTACGGGCTACTTTTTATCATTCATGGTATCCTCACCAAGGCAAGATTCAAGCACACTACATGGATGGCTAAAATTACCAGCTAAACTAGGACAGCTCTCAGTAGAAACAGAATCTCTAGGACTTATACTCCCAAATTTTCATTAAATATATGGATAAACTTTAGGAAAGCAAGTAAAAATAGGTTCTGTGCTGAGGTGCATGTCCAGAATGACACTTTGCATCACTCCTGCAAAACTGGACTTACTGGACTATGAAGAATTAAACAGTAGATGGTGATTCCTATTCCAAACAGCTATTAAGCTAACATCATCAGCTCTAAAAGTGGATTGCATTCCTTGCGAAGGATTTCAATACTCAACTTGAAAATCCAATTCAATGGCAACCAACTTGAACCCCTGTCCAAACCACACTGTTTTTTTAAAAATGCCCCATACTCCTTAAGCATTACACAAACCTCTGGAGGACAATAAATTCTACACTGTCATGAACATATGGCTGGTGACTTGACAGAAGAGAAGTAGTGTAGTTCTGTAGGGGCATGGGAAGAGTAAAGCAAAGATGAAGGGGGAAGGTACAACTCCTCAACTGTTGGTGAGCTATCAAACCATAGAAGAGGCAGCAAGACAGGAGAATCTACAGTTACAAAGCCTGAACTTGAATACTCAACACAGGATAGGAGCTGAGGGTTCGAAAAGTTCTATAGAAATGGTTCTCCTAAGTATCTCTAAAAAGCAAAACCTAATAAGCATTCATTCACAGCTTTTTCTGTGTGTGGGGAAAAAATAACTTACCAGTGCTCTTGCAGCATGAAAGAAAGGAACAGCACCTACTCCTTTCACAAGCCCAAGGGCAATGCTACAAATTTTACCTAAATGCTTTCAAGCAGAATACAAAGTAAGAAAAAAAAGCTATTAGTTGTACTCCTTGGAGATACAGCCTAGATAGGACAAAGCATCTTTTCACTCTTTTACTTTCTAGAAAAGCCTACTAGTCTGAAGATCTTCCTCTGCCCCTCCAAAAAAAAAGCATCCTTGCCTGAATTGTCAACGGTGACAGATAAACAGGATCTAGAAAGTCATTCCACGTTGTTTCTCTTTCCACAATTGTACATAGTGACTAAAAAAAAGTCGAGATGAAACAGCCCTATTCTCTGTCTCCAACAAAGGCTTCAAAACTGCACCAAAATTCAGGGAAACAAACCAATGTCTCAGTGCCTTCAGCATCACAAGTGACCCTCAGGCAGGCCCAGATACCCAAACGTGGATACAATTCATCCACAGGTATTTCAGGACAGAACTTGTAAGAGGGCAGAGGAACCTGGTAACACAAGTCAACTTAGGAATTTTTCAGTCAGAAATTAAAAGCTTTTGGTTAGTAAGTAGGATAACACTGAACGAGTATCAGCAGTGAATCAACGCTTCAGAAAACAACTGCATCCCTCCCAGCAACCTTTCTCTAAGAATATCCTTAAAGGCAGAATGACCAGAGCCCTGGTGACTCCACCACTGCCCAGCCGCCAGGATTTTGTCGCTAGATGAAAATTTACCAGCCCCTGGAAACACAGGTCTTAACAATGGGAAACTGCTCCCGGCGTCGCCGAAACGCTAACACACCGAGCCAAGCTCTGCCTTCCAGGGAGCGGCGCGCTAGCCTGGAAGACAGAAGGGCACTGGAGCAGCAGGAATACCTCCGCGGGTGGGAAAGGGAACACACCGGGGGCCTGGGGCGGCCCCAGGGCTGGGGGGCTGAGACGCCGTAGCCCCTCCGCTCGCCGCCGAAGGCCATCGCAGGCCCCCCCACCCCGCCGCCGGCTGGGCCCGCGGCCTCCCACGGCCGCTCGCCACCGGGATGGGCCTTCCCTTCCCCCTCAGCGGCGGCACCGGCTTCCAGCAGGACCCACGGAAGGGCCGGGCCAGGCCCCTCGCCAGGGACATCGGGAAGGCCGAACCTCAGCTCTCGCCACAAGCTCGGCAGTTCCGCCGGTCTCCTTCCCTCTCCCATACCCACCCCAAGCCCGCGATAGGGCGGCAGGACCGGGCCTCTCCCCTGGCTCCCTCCCTCTCGGCGGAGGGGCCGCGCCGAGCCCCCTGCCCGGGCCCGGGCTCCCTTACGCTGTATGGCGGGGGGCGGCGGGTATCGGGCGCGCAGCTCCGGGCCGCCCCCCTGCACGCCGCTGCTCACGTAGTTGCTGGGGAAGATGCCGACGCGCTGGTCGATCTTGCCCGTCCACCAGCCCTCGTCGCCGGACACGTGCGAGTCCCGGGACAGCACCTGCACCACGTCCCCCGGCCGCAGGCTCAGCTCGTCCTCGCCGCACGCCTCGTATTCGAAGACAGCGGTCCAGAGCGGCCCGTCGCCCGGCGGCTCCCCGCCGCCCGCGCCCTCCTGGCTGAGCTCGGTGAGGGGCTCCATGGCGAGGCTGCTCCATAGGGGGAGGCGCCCGCGGCAGCCGGGCGCTGCGGGGGGCGGCGGGGCCGGGACCGCCGCCTATTGTTCATGCGGCCCGGCGCCCGCCGGCACCAGGTGCCGCTGCCGGGACTTCCCGGCGCGGGGCCGCCTCAGCCTAGCGCGGGCAGGGGCGAGACCAGGCAGCGTGTGTCGTGGAGGAGCCGCCGCATCCCCCCCATCCGCCGCCTCCTCCGCGCCCGCCTCCGCCTCCTGCCGCCGCCGCCGCACATCCCGGAGCCACCTGACTCTCTGGCAGCTTCGGCGGCGCGAGGGGTGGGCAGGGCAGGCCCCGCCCCCGCGCCGCCATTGGCCGCTGCCGCCGTCCGTCAGCACCGCCCTCACCTGATTGAGGGCCCGCGCCCCCTGGGCCACGCCCCTCCCCGCCCGGCCCCCGGCCCCGGAGTCGCGCACTCACCGGTGCGCCCCCGATTGGCCCCCGCACGGTCAGCTCTCGCTTCCTATTGGGTCTCGCGCTCCGAGCTCCGCCTTCCCCACCGCGTCTCATTGGCTGGAGAGAGGGGCATGACACGGGCCAAAGGCGGGGTGGGGCGGCCCGAGGGCGGAGCGGGCAGGCGCCACCTGGTGGCGGGCGGAGGCGGCGCACACCTGGGCCGGCCCTCGCCGCCCCGGGCTCGGTGTCGTACCCCCCGGGCACCGCCACTGCCACACCGCGAGCGCCACTGCCCCGCTGGGCATCGCCACTGCCACACCGGGGACCGCCACTGCCCCGCCGGGCATCGCCACTGCCCCCCGGGGACAGCCACTGCCCCGCGGTGACCGCCACTGCCCCGCCGGGCACCGCCACTGCCCCGCAGGGACCGCCACTGCCACACCGGGAGCGCCACTGCCCCGCCGGGCACCGCCACTGCCCCCCGGGCACCGCCACTGCCACACCGGGCATCGCCACTGCCCCGCGGTGACCGCCACTGCCCCGCCGGGCATCGCCACTGTCCCCCGGGACCGCCACTGCCCCCCGGGACTGCCACTGCCCCGCGGGCCCGGGGCGCGGGCTCGGGCCGGAAACCCGACAGTCTCTGTTTTCTGTTGGGCCATGGACTTCCATAACCCGTCCGAACTTAAGCACGGGTTTGAGATGGTTTCTGCACGAGGTTATCGTGGGTGTATCCCTGCTGAATGCTTCTGTTAAAAATTAACAGAATTTACTTCTCACTCTTGCAATCAGCATGTAGCTGCTCGGTCCTGAAAATCCAAAATGCCATCTCCCTGCTGCCAGGGTTTTCACAGCTTGTGGAGACACCAGATCTCATCAATGGAATTTGTTTGCACTTGGTGATATTACTTGGAGATTTTCTTTGCATTTCACTCCTTTTTTTTTTTTTTAATCCTCATTTGAATTCCAGTGGCAAAACTGGAAATGAAAATTCCCTGTTCATGCTTCATCATAACAAAGCCCACTGATGCCAAAGGAGAAGCCCAAGTACCGTGACCACATCTGATGTCTCCACACTTATACATAAAATGCAGGGCTTCATTATTCTTTATTGTTTGCTAAATGCAAATACACAATTCTTCTCTGCAAGACAGATTTTTTAAAAATTCTCCATCCCCGAGTGAGACCTTCGGTTTGGTTTATGTACAGAGTAGCTCCTAGTAATTCTTAAATTTTGTGCATTGTGGTTTTGTCTATTTATCTATCCTTGCATTAGCATTATGCTGTAGTACCTTTATAGGGAGCCCCAGGGTTTAGGCTTTTAATAGAACGATGAAGATCTTAAACGTAGCATGCTCTGAGTTCATTCAAAATCTTTATCACTGTTTGTAAAATATTTGAATTTACTTACATTTACTCTGGGAATACACCCCCTCTCAACTGAACCTTAGTAACAAGTATTGCAGAGAACCCTACTGGGAACTACAATTATTCTATTTTCTCTCTTCCCCAAACTTCAGAGCCTTTATTTCTCACAGAAGCCAAACAAACATGGTCTAGAAAGAGCTGGTATATTAGTATCCTTATTTTACAAATAGAGACCAAAACATGTCAAATTGAGGTCAGAACTAACATTTCACTGTGATGCATGCAAGATTTAGGCATGCTTCAGCACAAATTTTCAATTGAATTTGTCTAAGAACTGAGCTTTGGGTTTTCTCCTCTCTCTCCACTGCCTCTTGTCAGCGAGGGCAGAACTGAGGATGCATCCTCTCCACTATTCCTTTGTTACTTAAGGGTGTGTTTTCACAATTAGTGTAAGCTTATCCAATACTACTCTGTTGCTGAAAGGGACTTTCCTGCCCCTTGTCACATGCTTGACCTGCTTTCCTGATTGCAACACTAGTGACTGTGGCTGTGGAGTCATTTCAGCTCATTTATCTAGCTGAAAGCTAAGCCTCTGAGTAAAAGCAGCTAGTTTTCAATCAGCTTTTTAGGTTGATCTGACTTGCATTAGGACTGTACACACAGACATTAACGCCGGCACAAGGAAGCAGGGCAGGTGAAAGGGACAGCCACCTGGCTTTTTCAAGAACATCCATCTTTAGGTTACCTTGTCTTGATCATGAAGACAAGGGGTAACAAATAGCTGTATTCATGGGTTTGGAGTTCAAATAATAGATTACTGAGATGGAATGTGAAAGACTGCTGTTAATGTTCCTAATTAAAGTAATTGCAGTTGCATGCAATAATTTTCTGTCTAATTTTATGTAGAAAAAATTATTTATTCAATTCACACAGTGGGAAATTATAATACTTTACATTAATATGGCACTTTAAATATTGTAATACAAAAAAGTGTAAGACATAAGAAAATAGAGGCCTCTTGTCTTTCAGCTGCTTGCCACTTATTTTGATCACTGCTGTAGAGCACTGATAGGTTTAAAGTAGATAGTGATATTACTGATGGTGAAAACTATGACAGGAAAAAAATTGCTGCTGTAGAGGCTCAGGTTGCCTGCTGTAGTGACCTGCCAAGACAGAACCCTGCCATCTTGTGGAACGCCTTGATATCAAAGTACACAGCTTTGCTTCTCAAAAGACACCTCTTTTTTTTCCCTCTCTCTCTCTCTCTCTCTTTTCCCCCCCCCCCTTTTCTTTATTTTTTATTTTCCATTATTATACGTTTGTTTCTGCAGAAGTGGTGTGACTGGCTCAGGAAGCCGTTTGTGCCTGGAGTGTCCAGGGAAGTACTCTGAAGAGCCATCATAGGATTTTCCCAATCTCATAGACTTCTCTTGGCATCTTTTACCAGCCATGTCAGAAACTGGTTTCTGATTAAAAGATCTGGCCAGATTGGGTAGGCTGTTCTTAACATCAAGGTAAATAGAACTGTCAGTAAATGTTAAATTCATATTCCAGTAACTGGCAAAAGGCAGATGCAAAGAACGTTAAAGAGTGTCTGCATGCAGTCTCTAAAAGATGACATTTTAGCATTGGCAAGATACAGACAGATTTTTAAAATGGTGCATGCCTTTCTGATGAACATATAGCCCAAATGCTACATTGAAAGTTTTTTCTTATGCATTCCCTAATAAAACTGTATCTGTTCCCATTATTATGCAGCAGATCTGAATAATGGGAATTAGATTCTGGGTATAACAGATCCAGTTCCTAAAGTCTGTGCTTGAATACAGACTCTGCTTCCTAAAGTTTTTTTATGTTAAGATTTTGTTCTGTGTTTCAAAAGAACAGTCTAACCTGCAAAATGCATATGATACTCTGAATGTAGTTCAAACTTTCTTCAAACTGAGAACTTTGAACCAAAACTTTTAATTCAGGCTCATTTTTGCATCTACATTTTAAAAGTACCAACAAATTATTAGATGGTAAACAAAAAGGCCAGTCTATTCCCAGTCTTTGTTTTAAGAAGCAATGGAAAGTATTCTGCTTATTCAGTATCATTATTAATACAAATTTAGGATTATGAATCTCAGCTTTTGTCCTGTGTTTTCTAGAGGCTTGTGTAGACTACCACTGGACTTAGCAGCTCTATAACTTATTAAAACATGGCAGTCCATAGTTACAAATCTAACTGGATATCAAAATGTTGGCAGTCTAGGCTCCAAGTATCTGAGTTCTGTCAAGGAAAAAAAACCCAACCAGAATGGTATTAAAAAACAAAAGGAAGAGGAATATCAGAAAAAAAGGAGAGACTGTGGGCACAGTCCAACTACACTGCAGTACTAGAAACATACTGTAATTCCAACTCTACCAAGCACATCTCTACCAGCACAATAAGAAAGTATAAAAGATTAAGGAGATGCCCCTTGGCACATCTTATTGCAGCTCACTCCTTTTACATCCTGTGGTAATTTATATTGCATATTAAATTCATACAGCACTCTCATTTGGCTTTTATACATTTCAGAGGACATACCACAGATCTGTTCCATGCCTATATCCCCAGATATAGCCACATATACCAGTCTGGAGATTAATCTCACTCCAGTAGCCAGATTTGTTTGATCAATTGCTGACAATTTTTACTCAAACTATGTAAGCTTTACTGAGAAATGGATTTTGTTATCATTAAAAATTGCCTCTCTACATGGCTGTAAAGCTAGACTGGGTTTTTTCCCCCACTTTAGAACAGTACTGCTTTTCCAACATCACTTTAGTGTAGGTTTGTTCTTGACTTGATGAGGGGGAGAGGGGTAAGCCACTGGCAACAGAAGCTTTATGAACTGTGCTGTGCTAGCTAGGAGGCAGGCTGCAAATCTGGGTCTTGAGCATCTGAGTCAGTAAAGAGAGAGCTCTACTCTGCTTCATAAAATATATATGCTAATCTCCCAGATGGCTATATGTTCTTTCTCCATAAAACAGATGACCTGTAAAAAATAAAAGATAAAAACACTGGAGAGTGGGAATTCTGGGCCAAAATCTGGAAACTTGCAGTAGATTTTACAGACAGACTTGGATTTTAAATTTAGCTTGGATCTGGTTTCATAACAAAATAGAGCAATGGCTATTATAGGTCACAGCATAATTTCACATGCAACATGAATCATTCATACATCTGCATCCCTCTAAGAAAAATGTAACAAAGAAACACTTTCAAGTGAGATTTCTGTCTGCACTAGAAGATATACACCTAACAGAAATAATGGTTAACTTTGGCTTAGTAATGATTAACATTTGCACACTGTGTATCACCTCAATCCAAGTTTTTGTTTGATTAGTCATAGATTGAGTTGCTGCTCCTGTAAGGGAATATCAGAACCATGCTGCCACACTGGCAACATTGTGCCACAGTTTCGCAAATGTGTGGAACAAAT